GTTCCAGGGGGAAAAGTAATTTATTTATATTCCTGGTTTATATCCAGAGTACAGGTCAGTGATCGCTGAGAGTTCACAGTGACTGCAGGAGTGCTTAACCTTTGGGGCACACTTGGAATGAGACCACTTAACTTGTCTCTGCATTTGCATTACTGTCCTAATGTACATTGAGGTGTCTGCATTTCTTCAGGGCCTTTCTCAGAGAGCTCTTCTCTCTCATTGCTGTCTTTTCCTTCTCTGCTCTGACAACAGGGAAAGGCCCTTTAGAAATACTTTAACTTTTTTTTTCTGTTGCCCTGTGCGGTATCTATGTTACTGTTGCTCCTCTGCACATTCTTCTGCATCTCTTGGCCGTCTAGGAATGGGTTGCCCATTCCTGTTCTTCCACTTGCAACTCAGGGTGCTATATATTGGCTTCCACCTTCATCTGTGTGCTAAGTCAGTCTCTCCACTTCGGTGAGGTGGTTACATGGAGCTGTAGTATCTCAGGGATTCCAAAGATACTATGTTACCAGACAATAATTGCTTTGATGAAGAAATCTTTCTCATGCAAGTGTGAGTGGAGAAAACAACCTTCATTTGAATTTTAAAGATCCATGGCCTCTTCACTGGCTGAGGATTTCTTTTTCTGTGTAAGAACGTTGCGTTCCTTCTTTTTCCTTTTTTTTTTCCCCCTCCATGACCTGTGTTTCTTGAACGAGTGCTTGGAGGAGGGAGTCAGTCTTGCAAAAGCAAGGTGACATTCTGCATGATGGAGATGCAACTTTTGGGGATGTTTTAGGCTGAGGGTAGTGTCCAGACTGCCACTGGGACGCTGTCCATGTCAGCTACAAGTAAGGAATCTGGTTCTGTACTTGATTTGCAGCAAGATGAAAATTTCCTTGCTCTATTGGAAAATGTGATGACTTGGCAAACTTTCATTTAAAGATTACAATGAAGTTACAACAATTGACTCTGTTTCTATGAGGTCAGTATTGACTCAGTAATCACTTCTGGTCCATTATTCTGTCGTTCTGTGAGTGTATTACATGTGCCATTGCTGCATGGAAATTCACTGAAGTACAGAACACTTGAACAGATTCTCTGTACCTCTTGGGTGCTGAACTAGACTGCACTTTCTACAGCATCTGCAACACCTTAGAGCCAGCAGAATGTTTACAATACACTACTTTTGTGTGGCCTGGTTAACAGTTGTTCCTTACTGCAGTTTCATAATCAAACACATGCCCTTTTTCTGATATTTTCAATACATTGTATTATATTGAATGCATGCTTACTTGTTTTCAGTAGAAAATTAAATCTCCATTTTATTAAAAAATGAAGCTTATCTCTGATTTAAAATGAAAAAGGAGGGTGAGAATCCCAGAATTCTGAGTGCAATATAATCACTTCAACAAAAATACTTTTGAGTGATTGTTTACAATATATATCATATGTGCAGATGATAAATATTCTTTTAGATATTAGAACAGCTTTTTAGCTGCTTTATTGTTATGAATATATTAAGAATATTTGTTAAATCAGCACAGAGTAAAATGTCTCCTTTTATATGAGGAAAATAAAATCAGTGTAATTCCTAAATGACAAGGAAAAAGTGGTAATTTGTGTACAAGATTTTGTAGTTATCTTTCTATATACCTTGTTTAACTGATGCTCCAGGGTGATACTTCAGTCTCAATGAGCAGGTTGTCAAACTTCAGAACTGTTTTTCTGGGTCTACTATCAGTATAGATTGGGTCCTTGGAATAATTCTATGGAAAGCATTTTTTAATATATTTTGCTTTTTCTAACTGTGTTTTGCTGTTAGGTGGTCACAATCTAAATGTTTATTTGGTATGTAGTGAATAAGAATTGATAATTTGCATCATCTTGATTCCTAATGCTAGGAATGCTGTCCCAGCTAGAAAGAAAAGAGGATTGGTACTTGCTGTCATTTGTCTGCCAGAGGATTTGGCATTGTTACTCCCCTGAGTTGTTCCAGCTGTGATCACACAGGATCACATCACTTGTAGGTAAATGCATTCAGCTTTAGAGAGTTTGAGGGGAATGTACCATTACTTTGCTTCAGATTCTTGTAAGAAACTGCCTTGTCCTGATACAGAAGGAGCCAGAGCTCCTATTACAAGACAAATAACTACCATAATATGGGGTTTTTTTCAGCTTTACATGTTGGGTGATGGCTCTTGAGTTCATTCTGTTCTGCATTCCCTTAACCCAGGTGCTAACCACAGACACCTTTGGCACACAAAGCCAGTGACAGCCTTTTGTGGCTGGTAAACTGATTTTTATTTATTTTCCTTCCCCTTAACTGAGATGTGACAAAGCATTTTCAAGGAGAGAACCTGTGCAGCAGTTCTGCTCATTAGATTAACTGAAGTCCTCTACTGATTTCTAACCTTTGCTGCCACCATCCAATGGGGAAGGAGAAACTATTTGGCCATAGGTTCTTCAACACAAAGCCTCTCTCTGAATTGTGAAATGATTATCCATCCTGTGCTTGTCCACACCCAATGGAGCTGGATATTTAGTCATATTCAGTGTTGAAACTGAGAGTAGAAGAGATACCAGTCCCGATCTCTTCACTTGTATATTTTATTTTCTGGGATTTTATGAAATAGCTTTGACTTTGTCCTGTCTGCTTGTTCTCCCCCTGCCTTAGTAGCAATGAGAACCCACTTTGTACCATGTCTGCCTTACTGACTACTTCTTGTGCTTTTGAGAGCTTAGATTCTTGGACTCACATGGTTACTGATGTAAGTTTTCCTTCCAGCAATTATTTTTTTAATGAATGATGGATTGTATAAATCACTAAGATGGTGACCCTTCCCCCTTTAAGTAAACTTTTCCAGGGCTAGCATCCAGTTAGGAGATAGCCCTTTTTTCCTGTACCAAAAAAATCCCCAAACCCAAAAGCCAGAGTGGTAAGAAAAAAAAAAAGCAAGCCTTTTCATGTTTTCTTCACATTTTGAGAAATATTGAATCATATTACAGCAATCTGTATCTCATTTCCTTGGACTGGGTAAATATAACTTGAGAGATGCATGCTCAGGCAGTAAGAAAATTGGCATAATTTGGTATACTGCACGGTTAAATTATGGTTTCAACTAAGTCTTAATAGAGATTTTAAAAACCCAGGCTTTTCCCAGTTATAACAACCCTCTGATCCAACATTTCACAATGAAGCATGTTTTAAGTTAACTTCCAAATTCTCAGAGAGGCAGAGTAGCAGTGCACACTGCAAATGTGTACTGCATTTTTCAGAGGTCCTGCAAAATATGAAGTACCACAGGAGTTCACTGAAATCAGCCACAAAAATTCATGTTTAATATTTCTATATTTGGCCAGTCTGTTAACTTTCTTCACCACTTAGGAGGGTGTGGAAGGTGCCTTATACTTACATATATTCAAACTTCAGAAGATTTAATGTAGTTTTTTAGCCTATTTTTCTCATGGGCTGAAGTAGAGGAGAATATGATTGCAAAGAGTTCAAGAAGCTTTGATATATTTACACAGGTGTACAGTAATACCTGAAAATAAAGACATCTGTCTAATTTTTTAGAATTTTCATAGTATTCTATTTCAGAAGTTGCAGGTAAGACAAACTTTTCTCACCAATGTTAAAGTAATAGGAAAACAAAATGCTTTTGTTTCATCTTGAGCTACAAAAATCAGATTAAATTTAATTTTCAGGCTATCCTGTAATAGTAAAATTTTACAAATTTTCATTACTGTAAATACCTGTTTCTGAAACAACTTTATGATATGGATGTAAATATTGTCTTAGGCTCCAAAATACTTGCTTTAGGAAAATGGTAACATACAGGCCAAATCTGACATGCCTACAACTCCATTGCTTACCTCCTTTTTAAATCTCTTTGCTCAGGGTAGAACTTTGTAGGGAAGAAGTTTGGAGCAGTAAAATATTGACGTTTTTTCTCTCAGTTCATCTTCTATCAGCTTGATATTTTAATTTTTTTCTTAAAATGGTATCATCCTTTTCTCACCTGTGGAAACCATAATTCTGCCAGTAGCTTTTGAATATTGTTCTTCTGGCTTTCATTGATCTCGTTCCAGGCTTTCTTTTTGCCAGTGTTACACTAAAGCTACTGAATAATTTCAGTAAGGAGTGTGAAAGCACAGGGTTGTTAAATTGGTATCTTTTTGGTGCCTAAACTGTTGTCTTGCTTTTAATAACATTTTGGTTTTGATAGTACTTTGCCTTTAGAATTGTATTTAGATAAACTATAGTTTCTAAATTGATCACTTTCCTGGTATGATTGTTTTTGTTGTAGTGTGTATTAAAAACAGGAGGTGGGTGGTGGTTTGGAGGTTTCTGGGTCAAATTGTGAATGATTCTCACGTGACTGAATGGTGTGTACTGGGTCATTGCTCCCACACACCACCTGATCTTTTGTTTATATCTCCTCTGCTGCAGTCAGAGCACAGGGAAACCCCCACATACCTTCCTGTTAGCATCACCCCCCACCACTCTTCTCCATTCAAAAAGTATCAAACAAATGATAAGGGCAAAACTGAATTTGGATTATTGCTCTTTTTTCTGGTGGTCAGGTGTCTGCAGAGAAAAACTCTTGCAGCCTCCTTTGTAGGGGAAAGAGGAGAGGCACCAGAGAGGATTAAAAATCACATCTGTGTGTCAGGAGTTCTAGCAACCCATATCAGCGTGAGGTGGTTAGTTCAGCCCGAAGCAGAAGTCTGCTATGGTGTCTATGGTGTGATTTTTTTGCCTCTTTTGATAACATGGTGTAAATTTCCATAGCTGAACACTGCAGAAGTTGGTCACAGCTTGTAAAAACTATCATACACTTAAGTTATGAAGTATTCCCTCCTGGGATCATAATACATGACACAAACCAGTGATAACAATCTGGAAAATTCTGGAATTTTTTTTATTCAGAGATAAAACATGGAAAGATCAAATTCTTTCCAGGCTGAACTAGTCTTATTTAATGGTATCTTATTTGGCTGATGGAGCAATGGGCCAGGAACAGCTCAATCAGTAATAAGTCTAGCAAGAACTATCACATTTTTCTTCACCTTGGTACTCTCCAATGCAATTAAATAGCAAGTGTGAAGGTAGGCAAACAGTAGTGTGAATGGAGTGCAATTTGTTGATGTTTTGTCTGTCACAGGTTGAGATATTCCAGCACAAACACTTGCAGGATTTTGTTGAGATTGTCAATAGTGGCTCTGTCAAGGTTTTCTTCTGTGTCCTTCATGGTATGCCATACTGCAGGAAAAGGGGATGGAATCAGATGGAGGACTGGAACCCCTATAAAAAGCAAAGTGAAATTTGGAGAAGAAATACTGGAAAAGTTCTGTTAAGCCAACTGATACTTCACCATTTAGCAACAGAGTCAGGTAACTACTCAATCAGCTTGCTTTATAGGGCGTGCCACTACAGCTTCCTCTTACCTTCTCTTGTTTTGATGCTTGTGACTGCATCCCATCATTAAAGAGTGTGTTGTGTAAAGATGCCACCTTCCTTTCCTTTTAATACTTTTCCCTCTTTTATTTTTCCTTTTCTTTTTTTAAGTAATCTGTAGCTACTTGTTGTTTTTGAGATTCTTTGAATTGTGTGTTTAGGAGCTACAGAAGGACAGAAATGACTGCAGCTCCTCACTGAAAACTGATTACCATGTTTTTGTGAAAGTGTTAAGACTGTTTTTGAAGCATTTTTTACTTCTGTATGTAAATGGTGAAATAGGATGTCTTATTTTTACTCCATAAAACAGAGACAGCGTTGCCCTCAGATAAAGGAACTTCCACTTGAAAGGACTGTATCACTGCATATGTGTGTGTGTCTATATATATATATATATATATATATATATACATCAAGCCACCTATATGTGTTGCAAATTTTAGATAAAAGAGGAGTTAAATCAGTCTTCTGCTTCCTTGATTGCTTTTGGGAAGGAACATACTTTTTTTTCTCAGCCTCCTTCCTGTTTTAATGCTTTTTCTCTGATTTTTCAGCTGCATACCACTAAGGAATCAATTTTTTTCATTAAGGTGTTACATCAAAGCTCTAAAGTTGGATTCAGAAGCCTCAAGATGGGGCAAATAAGCTTGATAAACAGGAGCATATGCACTTGCTCATTTACTAAATGATGCATTTCTTACTGAACATATACTTCAAACTATAAGAATTTCTGGTACCTCTTAATAAAAATGGAACGTGATCATCTTCAACCAAGCCTCGATGTAAAGTACTCTGGAAATACTGACTTTCAACACGGTGATTCTTCAGCAGATTCATGTTGTGTAGCTTTTTCTCTGTAATGCACAATGAAAGTGATTATTACAATTTCTGGACAATGAGGCATGTTAGCACGTTTGAATTATTTTTTCCTCTTCCGTGGAAGCTTTTCCAATCAGAGAAGAAAAAGGCAGTGGTGACTGTCTTTTGCATTTGTTTAATACTTGGAAGACCTCAGGATTGGTGCTATTACCATCATTTTACAGAAGCGAGAGCTAAAACACAGAAATGAAGCAGTTGCCAAATGTCACAGAGTGACAATCAGTAATAGAATCTGTTTTGTTGCTTCTGAGAGTCGTCCTCAGTTGTTTTATTAACTGAGTATCAAAATTTTCATATAGATTTAAGATTTCACATTTACATTACCAAAGATTATTACTGTAAACCAGAAAATTAATCTAAAAATCTGATTTATCTGGGCTTAATACATTCAGAAACTACTCACTAGGTTTTGAAATTCATTCAAAGCACATATCCTTCTGCTTACCAATTGCTTGAAGCCTCTGAAACCATCGAAGAGTGTTTTGAAAATAATTGGGAAAGACTGGGTTTGGTGCACCAATTAAATCCAGTAGTACAAACAGGTCCTAGAGAAGAAAGAATCTTTAGTACAGAACGCTTTCCTACACCAGCAGCAGCAAAGAAACTCTTCGTTTCCTGTATAGGTCATGAGCAGGTCTTTGCTAGCCCTGGCAAAGATGTGGCTTTTCTACCATGGTGCCTGAGAAGAATTCACTAGCAGAACCTGATTGCAATATGATACATTTTGCTGTCTTTCCAAGGTGGGAAAAGATAGGCTATTCCTCTGTTCCTCAGGCTGAAGCAGGCTCCATAGCTTCATATGCAATTTGTGTGTTGTGTCTCTTTAAAAGAAAAACGACAGTAGGTGGGGAGAAAGAAGAGGAAATTGCTTCTTCCCCTGAGAACAACGAAATCTATCAAGGGAAAGACATTTTATGAGTCACAAGAAGCAGTGACAGAAGAGAAGTGCCTCAGCAGTAAACAGGGAAAGTAGAAGGGAACAGACAACCAGAATGTCAGTAGGAATCAAAGGAAAACAGATTTTGCTGTAGCTTAGTACTGAGCTAGGGGAGATTTGTTCATAGGTCAATACTGTTTGTGCTCTTATCACTTTGAATTACCTTTTCCTGAAGGAGGTGGGTATCCTAGTTTATATTCTAATAAATTGTGTATTTTGATATTTCTGTGACTCCTCCTTGTACTTGCATGCAGCAGATCTAATCAACTGAAAATATCTTGCCAATTCTCTGTTATATTTCATCATGTTTCCAGAAGCCTGCTTCTTCCTTTAACTTTAATGGGGTCATGGTTTCTTGGGAATTTGGCCAGTTACTTACTAATTAAATGTATTTTAAAATGCCATTTCCTATTGTTCATTAAGGAGGTGAAAGCCACTTACTATGCCCTGCAGCTGGTTTGTGGTTGTTGAACCAGGTGGGTGTGGAGTCGATGCCATTTTTTGAGCTAAGTGTTGAGATCCATAGAGGGAATCAGAAGGGGACCACCGAACAAAGGCTTCTTCACCATCAAAAAAAATGAGCTGAAGTGAAAGGTCTGGTCTTGGCGTTGAGCTGGCCTGTTGGAGGAAGTTAAAAGTAAAATAAATGATTCTGGCCAGAACATTAAATAAAGGGCAAATACTGTATTCATACAGGTAACAGAAATAAGGGAGTATTTTCAGGTCTCCCTATGCAAACCTTCCTTTAGCTGTTATTACGGTGTAGTAGTGGTAGTGATCAGTCAAGGTAATTGTTATTTATCTAATATAGTGACACATTCTCCAGTCTCATATGATTTTGGTTCTGGATAAAAGTTTCATTTCTGACTTTGGAAGACATGAGTGTTGAGACCTGCAAAACCAGGTAGCAGCAGCATTATCTCAAATAATGAGATGTGTCAGTAACAACACCTGATGGGAGTGCTAATGTTATTATTCGATTGCATCACAAGGATTAATATAATTGCTACAGCTGTGCATCAGTGGAGGTAAATTATATATTTGACAAGTTGATAGTTCTTTAAGCCCCTTCTTTTCATTCAGGGGAATTTGCAATCACTGAGGCAACCTTATGCTAAACCAAAGCAAAGAGAGTGGGTATGTCAGATATATCTTTCAACAACCAGAAATGTAACAGCATTAAAATCTGAGAATGTATATGATAAATGTATTTAATGTCACAAAAAAGACATTTGTATGAATTTTCTTCTCAATGTAGAGGGAGACTACTATCTGAAGCCTTGTTTGAACTGTCAGAATTTCTTAATAATCCACAGCACAGTGCATCCCAGTCTGGTTCCACTAAATGGACAGTTTTGGGAGCTGTGGTCTTGACAGTTGCTATAAATATTTTAATCTCTCTATGAATTAACACTGCTTCAAGTAAAATTGTACGATGTGGTTAAAAAGGTGGGGTCACTGGCAGCAGTCATGTCCTGGATGGGCTACAACTCCCAAATAGCTGGAGCTGATGCAAAATCAACAGTAGTGAAAAGCTTCTACAGAATGTCACTCAGGCAGGCTAGATGGTATTGATGGTGCTCACAGTGGTATATTGATTTCTCTAATGGCAATGGTTTTCTGCCCTTTGTCCTTTGCACATGACAGAGCTCTGTGGGCAGCAGTCACTTTGCATTACATTCTGGAGGAAATTATCAGTGCTATTTGAGTTTCAGAAAGTAGTACTTGTGTTGTTATTACTATTACTGCTTAACACATTTTAATGTAGAGAGATGTTTTTGCCTATTAATTTTAAACTTACTCTGTATAACTGTAGAGACATCAAGATAAAAAATCACACCTTCGAGTCGAAGTATAAATATATTTGGCTGAAAACATAGCAAAGTCTGTTTTGCTACCATAAGCAGAGCAAAAGCATCATAGCTAATGTATTAAGCAGATGGATCCCAAAGTATATTTTGTTAACAGACTGTACAAGTGGTGGCCTGTGCAAAGTAATTAGTTGCCTTTTTGTCAAATGCTGTCTTATCTTAAATGATAAAAAACAATTTTCATTGTAAAATAGTGTAGTCATAGTGGAAAATGCCAGTCTTTAAGGTCAGTGTGCAGGTTGTTTCATAAATAATCACTAGGCAAATTTATTATAAATGAAGCTTCTGAATGAAAGCCTTTGTATTACAGGAGTGTTTTGTTTTGTGATTAAAAATATTGGCATATTGTTAATCTTCTCATTCTTCAATATTCACATATCAGAAGGCACCAATCCAGTTTCTGGAAACTGCTGTTGACAAGTAATCCTAATACCTGAGCTGAGTGCACTCCTGAAACTTTGTAGAGTGTCTCTCACATTTGAGAGATCTTTTCCTGTAAAAGCTCTGTAAACGTATGAGAATTATTTTTCTGTAAATAGTGAATATTGAACCAGTAGATGGCACTCGTGAATCCGTAATCCTGCAAATTCATAATCCTACAAGCTTTAAGAGTTTGTAGGCTCAACAGATTTTTGTGCCTAGCAATTGCAGCCCTTTGAAGCAGATTTTTGTAGCATAGCTAACACAGACTGCTAATATCATACTTCTTTCATAAATAAACTATTCAAATTTGTCAAAAAAAAAAAAAAAAAAGAGAGAAGAAAAACTCGAAATCCTTGTGGGATGGGGGAACCTGAGTGTGATTCTTCTGCACAACAATTAGTTCATCTGTGTCCCATAGCAGAATACAACTGAGAGTTTTATGCAGGACTCAAAATGCAACAAAAATTTCTGCAGGATTCAAAATGCAATGAAACTTTTCAATGACCCTAGATATTACTTGATATGATAGAAATTTCTGAGTCAGGTTCTGTGCCTTTTAGATAGAAAGTACCATTGTATCTTTCCAAGTCTATGAAACTTCTATTATTCATGTATCATTTGTTATTTTTATATGGTATATGTTTATATAGATAACTTTTAGATATCTGCCCTTTTTATAAGAATTTTTAATGTGATAATGTACTTCAGAGTAGTAGATACTGATCTCTGTTTGTTCTTGGAGTCAATGTGAGATTTATTACAAGCCCAGCAATCAGAGAACTCAGCACGTAGACTATGGAAAAGAATGTGGAAATGCCCTGAGGCCTGTTGCTGTTGGAAGGGCAAATGAAAATGAAACAAAATACTACCTTGATTAACTGAAGCTTGTTATCCAAGGCCCGTGCCAGCTCCAACATCATAGCACAAGGCACAGCTGAATCAGTTGCTCCCACGAACACTCTGTCCTGCCATTGTTGTCCAAAGAATTTTGAGTCATAATGGCAAGCAAGTACGAGATGGCGTTTTGCAGAGGGGTCAAGAGTGCCGATAATATTTGTAAATGTTTTATAGCCATATGGTGTGTATCTCTGAAATGTATCTTCTTCAATTTCCCAACCAGCCTTTAAGGTTTGAAGACGGTGCTCGATATGCTGCAGTTATAAAAAACAATCAGATTAATATTTCTTGCTTCAGAAAGATGTTGCAGACAAATTGTCATTAGCTAATTAATAGTGGCTCCTAAGCTTATTTCTATAAGTTCATGGTGTTTTAAAGGATAAACTTTATAGCAAAAAATGTAATATCACTGTATAAGTTTGCTACCTGAGCCTTTGCCTCATTTGCTTTTTATTTCTTCCTTTTGACCCTTGTCTTTGGAGCGTGAAGGTGTTTTGAATTATTGCCAATTATTTTGAAACATTAAGATCTTGATCTCTGAAGTTTTTAGGCCAGTGTCTTTTTCACAGATTTCATGTTAATGTTTAATGATTTAATGTTAACATCTTCAAAGCTTAACTCAGATGTGCCTTTAAATTAAAAGTCAGAATTGGCTGCAAAGACCTTGTTGTGGCTGTTTAGACAATTATCATATAGAGATGCCACAGCAGTATACGGAAAAAAAAAAAAAAAGCTGTTTGGTTTGGTTGGTCGATCTGAGGTGGTTGGGCTTTTTAGTTTCTGTGAGAAATCTGCCTTTTGAGTGACATAAATTGTTTACAAGGCCATTACAGATAGGTAAATTTGTTTAAATTAAAGAAAGGATGAAACATTTCAGAACAGCGTTTTAAAAATGTCTTAATTCTTATCTTTACATGAGCTACACTTACAGAATTTCAATCTGTAAGGCAAATTATTCATTTTAGCTATCTTCCTGCCCGAAGATAACACCTCTAACAACCCCAGCTATACTTCAACCAGAGTTCTGGCTAACTCATATGAGAGGGACATCTCTGTTTCTCTGTTGAGCAACTTATTTTTATGGGTCCCTAGAGAGCTTCTTCAAGGCAGATTCCTCTCTCTTTAAGTAAACATTAGGAAAAGCCTCTGAGGGGAAAACAGACTTTGAGGACTTGTTCTGCTCTTAGGAAAGTCGGTAGGAATGATAAAAAACAACAATATTGCCATAGATTTTAGTGCTAGAACAAACTTCCATTTTGTTTGTGGTCACCCTCTGAAAGCTTTTACAACATTGTATGGTTTATCAGCTATCAGCAGGCAGAATGAAAGATGTCTGTTAAGGATTAAGGGGACTATATAAGCCTGGATGGAGTTCCCATCTTTTCCCCTTTTCCCTTAAAGGAGTCTGATGATTTTGTGTCTCAGCAAAGAAGTGTAATCCATTTCAAACTCCATTACTGTGTTTTGACAATAGAGGACTCTTATTTTTTTTTCTTTGGTGTGGGGTCTAGTTTAATACATGCTGTTACCTTGTAACAGGATCATCCTATTTTGAACATGATCTGTGGTTTTCTAGCCTAGGCTCAGCTGTTTTTTTGTTTTTCTTCCTTTTCCCCCTTTCACTTGGCTGCCTTCCTGAGTATCACTAAAGAAACCACAAAACTAAATCAAAAGAGAAGTGCACACACACAATGTATAAAAAGGCTGCATTTTTCCAACCTACCAATTGCAGAGTAGCAACTGAATTTATTGTAGTTACTGTCTTAAAGCTGTTGAGTCAGTGCCTGAAGGGTAGATGAAGGCTAGTGAGATGATGTGAATGTCTTTAATAAACTCTGCTGTACCATTGTCTGTCTCCCTTTTGGCTAATGTGATCCAGAGCCAGCACGGACACTGTCCTGAAGATTCCATGCAGTGAGTGCAGAGCAGAGGTGCTGACAGAGCAACAACCCCTCTGGGTGGTAACTTCTTGTGGCTCAAAGACAATGTGCTGGAGTCGTCACTGCCTTGGGGCCAGCTGCAGCCTGGGTTTGTTAGCCCAGCACTGGGACGCCGCTGTGCCTGGGCTGGTGGAGCTGCTGTGGTTCATGGGCCAGGGCTGCACTTTGTCATGCTGCCCATTTCATCTGCCTGCCCCTTTGGGCTCCTCTGATCCCCTTTTGTGTTGATACATCCATCTGAAGCAACATTCCAGGGCACTGTAACAGCACAGGATGGGGCCTCTCCAGAAAAAGTGATGGGGTGTCATTTACTTCATTCCATGCATGATCTCAGGTTTGAACCAGTGACCAAAAACCTGCTCATGTGAGGGAAAGGAGAACCATTGTGCTGTACTTTGGGTACCAGACCTGGGCAAACTTTTAAATCAAAACCACGATTAAAAAAAAAAAAACAAACTTATTTTTCATCATGCTATGCAGCCCAGGAAAATAATGCCAGCTAATGTGCAAGCTATGTCATGTAGGCACTATGCAGTCTAGACTTGAACAGTGATAGATTTCATCCTACTGAATGAAAGGAATATGGCTGTCACTTCAGTGGGATGTCTCTTTGGTGAGGGTCACCAAAGGTGTTACCAGAATATTATTATTATAAATAATATATTCTTAGAGGTTGTCAGGAAGTGTTGTCTTACCTGTCGCACAATGTAATTTCCTTGTGATCCCGGGTATCTTTCTATCAGGATAGGGCGCAAATCATTCTCCCACATTGCAGAAATATCTGTGTTGGCCACAACTTTTTGAATAGCATCAGAACCTAAAATTCTTGGTTGGTGAGAATACTGTAGAGAAGAAAGAGCGCTATAACTATTACTAGATCTCTTTAACCATAGTTTTCTTCAGAATTACAATAAAAATGGCACATTGTGCTACTTTGATTTACTCCCAACAAAAAGTAATTAAGAAACTCCTTTTCACTCAGAAATGACTGGCTTCTCTGTCTTCCATTTCCATGCAAAATATGCTAGTATTTAAAGTATGGGGGAAAGTTTTACCTACCAGCTAGCTGTAAAACCTGAACCTATGAATGGGTTCTGTTTCCTAACATCTTCATTCTACATGTCATGTCTGCAACCACACCCCCTTCAACTGAGGTTTCTATTGAGACACACACCAGAAGCTTTTTCTAGTAATAATGTTTAGCTTTATGCTGTGTCTATGTAATAAGATGTAGAAAAGCAAACAAACGCCTAAGGTAACTCACTCCCAGAGGGAACGAGCTGTGTCATTGTGGCCTCTGCCCACAGTGGCAGAATGGGTGTGACTGCACAGGATGCTGTGGCTCCTTTGGGGCTAGCTGGGGCATTCATCAGCTTGGTTAACCTCAGCAGTGACCTACCTCCCTCTAGTATGTGACTGACCTCCCCAGTGACTTCCCTTCTGTTGCCCAAGAGAAGGGCTTTGGGGCTGTATCAGGTGACCCAGACATCCTTGTGTAGCTGGCAAATGCACATCTCTGATGTGCAAGAGCTCTGCAGTCTCTGGAGTGGTAGCTCAATGCCAGATGGGATTCCCAAGGACATCTCAAATGCCTCTTTTGAACCTATCCAATCTCTAGCAATTGTCTCCTCAGAAACTTCCTGTGCCACTACTGTTTTTATAGATTCCTATTTCAGGCACTATCATATATACCTTCCTCATTTATATCACAGGGTCTTCCCTCTACTCCTGTCTTTCCCTAATAAAAAATACTGCTTTGTTTATTAGTTGTTTGATCAGAACTGCTTTACATAACTGATCAGACTTGCTGTCCTTCAGTGTACCTTGTCTATGTCATCCTTTCTGAGATGAGCAACAGGAGACAAACTGGAACATGAGCACATCATAGTTTATACTGTAGGACAATGGTACTTTTTATTTTATCCTTTTTCTTTCTTCAAACTGTTTGTTTAGCAGCTGACTTGCTTTTGGGCTGCTCCTGCATCAAACTGACATTTTCATAAATACCTGTAGTCTAACCCTCTCACTGCATATGTAAGCAAAAAATAATTCACTCTCCTGTTCTACTCGTGTGTGTCATTTTACACGTGTCTGAAATAACACCTAAAACCCATGACCTGGCCAGAATGTGAATTGACCTCAAAAGTCAGGTATCTTATTACCTGTTATCTTATTACCCTACGTGATGAATATTGTTAAAAAATTGAGGTTGCCTCACTATCTGACTTACTTTCTACTTTGTTTGTAAAAGCAAGAATAAGCATGAGTATTTTCTAGACTTCACTGCAAACATTTAATTCTGCCCTTCTCTTGTCTCCTAGCTGTTTATCTCCATGTGAACCTTTCCTCCAATTCTACTTAGGTTTACCAGTGAAATCAAGCAGAGGGGTGACAGAAAGACACTAAATCTCATTGTGCCAATTTTAATACAGTGTTTAAAGCTGAATTTTAAGACTGTAAGGACACCAAAATTTAGGATGGGCAGTTAACATTTTTAATGCTAGCAAACTTAGACATAGATTAAAGAAAAATTGCATTTCATCTGATATAAAGATGAACTTTTGAAAGTTTAAAAATTGTACCATGGAAGTTGTAAAACACTCTTTTGAAATACTAGAAGTTTAATATGGTGGAACTTAGACCATTGTAGAAGAGGCACAGACAAGAGAAAATGTCAGGGAGCTGTTCGGTTTAGGAGGAGCAAGCTGTAAGGGGAGAGTGAAAAGCTAAAGCTATGTACTTCAGAAGAGTGTAGGAGGACAATTTAATTAAGGAAGTTCAGAAAATGTAGTTAAACAAGTGAAGAGCATGCCTGGTAATTGGGGTCATCGAATCACTTTACAAAGAAACATTATTAAAGTACAAATGCATGAAAATACTTCAGAAAAGAGGAATCAATTCCCATTTCTAATAATGGAGGCATCTTCAAATTTGGGAAGTGAGGGGAGTTACAAAAGTGGTTATGAAATACAAGAGAAGCAAAATAAGATTTGTAAGTGACTCATTCTTTACAGTGTTGGTCAATCCCTATTTTGCCACAACAGGGAGGCAGAACAATATATTCGTGACAGGGTTGTCACTAAGCCTGTTGTACTAAGCTGTATAAAACTGCAAAACTTCAAGTTCTACAAGTGGCCCAGGCTTATCTGTAGGACTTTGAATTTCTGGCTTACATGTCCCTCCAGGGAGAAAGAACAAAAGTTGCTGAAGGACAAGGATTTGATGAGGAAGAGGACGTTGTTCTTGTTTAGTGCATGCACAGGCAGAGGAGCTCAGGGAGGATCAGCATCAGAGGCTGGTTCTATGGCTGGATGACACTACTGACAGCACTGGCGAGGAGATTTGTCAGAATGGAACCAACTAAGAGTGAAGTGCTGGGGCTCAAGGGGGCTGAAGAAAGGAGCGCTGGGGCTACACGATTGCTCGCTGACCAGCGTGACTCAAGATTTAGCCCCACATGTTTTTATGCATATACTGTATATGTACATATACATGTGTTATGCATTATTACAGATATAATTAGTACATAAGTAGATGTATTATGTTACAGATATATAGTCTATACATGAGCTATATATATTATATAGTGAGCTGTACACATATATATGTATGTATTGTAAGATACAATTAATAGAACAGAATGACACAGTATCTCATTAACAAACAAACAAGCCAACATTTCCTTGAATGGGGGCGGTGAATAAAATCAAGGAGAAAGGGAATGACAAAGGGGAAGTGTGAGGGAAGCTTCATTTTACCAGCTTGTCCTGGACTCTGATCTATTGGTGAAGAGAATGGTGAACTGGATTAGTGGAATTCAGTTGCTTCTTGCTGAACTTTGACTTCAGCTCTTCCACAAACACTCGGGGAAGGGCCCTAGAAATATATTTTCTGTTTGGAAATTCCTGAAATGTTTAGTCGAATGTGATCTGCAGTTTTATGCTCTCCTATGTTTCATGTGGTTTAATTATTTATGAATAAAACTATGTTAACGTTTCATAATGGAACACTAAGAGCTGCTACATTGAGAAATCTGTGGTTTAAAGCTTACCACTGTTTAATTAAACCTTATCTCAAGATTCCTTTTTTCAGCAGTTCACACACCACTCTAAATTAGACACAATATAGTTTCAGTCAACAACATATTAGAGCATTATATCTTTTCAAAACAATTTTGTACCAGCTATCAGCTCCGTGCCTACTTATTTTTCATTGATATGAGTGCATGCTGCTCGAAGAGGTATTTGTCTTCTCAAACTAAGTCACTGTCCTCCGACTCACCGTAATCACAGTGAAAGTTGGAGTACAGTAGAATGTTATAAGGAATATAATTTCAGATTTTGATCTGTCTTGTCTCGTTTGGATTTCCCCTTAAATTCAGTAACTGCCCCGACAAAGCTTATCCCTCTTGCTGCCCGGTCCCAAGAGGCACAAAGACAAACGTGTGAAGATTTGTTCTCTGCAGCCACCGAGCTCGGGCTAAGAGGGAAGCCATGCCACCCACCCTCACCTGCGGGACCAAGGGTGACCCCAGCCCGAATTCCCGTTGGCAGCCAGGGCAGGATGGATGGGGCTGTCCAGCCGCACACCCCTGCCCGCCGGGAAGGCGCTGCTCCCACACCAAGGGAGAGGCGAGAAGCGCCCGGGAAAGGCAAACGCGACCAACCTTCTGCAGGGTCCACTGCGCTCCGGCGTCCCTGCCGAGCGCCGGGGGCAGGCAGGCGGCGAGGCACAGCGCCCCGAGCAGCCGGGCAGCGATCCCCGCCATCCCTGCCGGGGCCACGGGGAGAGCCGGGGCTGTGCCGGCGGAGGCGGAGGCGGCACGGAGCAGGCACGGAGGGAGGGAGGCAGGGAAGGAGGAGGAGGAGGAGGAGGCTGCGGCAGGAGCGGCGCTGCCTGCTGGAGCCTCAGCCCTGCCAGTGCGTGCGGCAGCCCGCGGTGCCTGCGAGCCCAGCCCGTCCCCGCAGCACGTCAGCAGTGCCAGCCAGGGGCTGCCCGAGCCCCCGGCCCCCGCCCCATTCCCTCCTCCCGGGCCGCCAGCGCGGGCAGGCACTCGTGATTCCCACCGTGGGAAAAGCCGGAGCCTGCGGCTTTGCCCTGAAAAGCTGGTTTTGTGTTGCGAGGGGCAGCTCCGACACGGGGCCCCGCGTGATGTGGCGGCCCCGGGCAGCGCTGGCAGCCCCGGGAGCGGGGACGCTCCGCGGCACAGCCCGGGCTCTCCCGCCGGCAGCCGGGTGGGAGCTCGGAGCCCGCGCTGCTGAAGGGTGGGACTGCAAGGACCGACAGAACCGCCAAGGGGCTTAATTTACTCCTTTATAAGTTCTTCTGATCATCTCTTTTAGGCCTAAAACAACAACAGTACTTGCTAGAATGAAAATCCGCTCTTCAGGTGTTTTAAATTCTGTAATTATACTATCAACTAACAATGAAGCAGAACCTGTGGTGAGGTGGTATTTTGCAGTACACCAATTTAAATTATTAAACCAAAGATACAAGTTTCTGAGCTCATGTTTTCTTCTTTAGGACGTTTGACATTATCGTTTTTGCTCGAGGATGTTGTAGAAAACATCTAACTATTCTGCATCACAGATACTCCATTTAAAGTCTCCGATTTTTCCGTATTTCTTAAAGTTCAGGCTTAATTCAAATCAAATTAAAAGGAAAAAAAAAGAAGAAATTAAGGAGGGAAGCAGCAGGAGTAATCATTTTGCTGCTCATCAGCCTTGTACTGGAAAGGCACATCCTAGTAACTATAGCTTTGCAAGTGAGGGTGATGTTGGAGAAATGGAGTGATTTGTGATTTGCAGATGACTGACCCAGATTTCATAGGTTTCCTAGAAAAGCTGGTGGATCTGCCACCCAGCATATAGATGACACCTCTCGTGGTGATAGCTTTACTATAGATGCAGCATCCTTCAAGCTGATAGTCAGAATGTGGCTGTGTCCATTTTTTTTTTTCATATATGGGAAAACAAAGAGTTAATTTACATTGTTGCCTTTTTTTTTTTTTTTCCAGTCGTGAAAGTCCACATAGTGCTTTGTTAGGAAATTGTTCCAAATTCACAGCCAAGTCACTGGTTAACAGGAAGAAATGGGCAATCTTTTGATTACCCAGGAAAATCAGCATGGTTGACAGATTTTTAGACAAAAGCCCCAGCATGTCAGAGATCAAGTCATGGGAAATTAGTCTAAATCCCACTACCAAGATGATGGTGATCCCAGCAGAACTACACAACAGAACAAAAATCTGCTGCCCCTCCATGAGATTTCCTGTGGTTAACTATACAATCCAGATGCTGGACAGAATTTCTGGGTGATGTGCCAGGGTTCCCATACAATTTAGCAGAAAAGAAAATAAATACAATAGCTACAGGAGAAATCCGACAAGAATATAAGTCAGGACTAGCTAACACTGCTTTTCCCTAAGGGATTGTGGTTGCTCTGAGGGTTACAAATATTTGATAGATTACAAATTTGGCAAGTGTAAAGTCAGATTAAGGCAGTGTTAACATCACCTACATTGGAAACACACATAAAAATGTAAGTACTGGACCAGATGTGTGGAGAGATTAAACAGGATTTTTTAAGGACATTACTTTCAAAATTTGGAATGGAGATATATGGTATATTATGGTACACAATATAGGGTATACAACACATCCTCTCATAGCCAATAACCACCCCATAAAATTCTATGTCTATAAAGAAGTCTGAGGAGAAAAAAAAAAAGGACTCCACGTAACAGAAATCAGAACGTTTCACAGCCTAAAATGGAATTACATAACTATTTTAAATATGCAAACTTAGAAAATCAAAAGTGATGGACATTTTGTTTTTCCAGGGATTTTTAAAGGAAAAATGTGTTCTTTAGTCCTGCTTCATACCACCTAATAGAAAATGTGACAACAAATCGCTCAGTGGTCAGCCGTTCTATGATATACATTTTAAATAGTTGGATTATTACTCTGAAAAATCAAATAGATGTAATCAGATATCATCTAGAGGGGGGAAAAAAGGGTAGTTTCTTTGAAGAAAAGCATAAGTAATGAGTGACAGTATGATCTGTACATCGTCCCTTCCTGTGCTCAGGAAGAGACAGCTGGTGTGACAGTGCCATCTACTGAAGTCCCGAAGGACAGTGGATGGCGGCACCGCTGTCAAAGCCTGTTCCTTCTGCTGACCTCCAACATTCCAGCATTTCAGCGAGCTCCGTCATTGCCTGGGCTATTAACTCAGCAGGAATGCACTGCCCAGCGCTGCGGGGTTAATGCACGCCGCTTTTCCCCAGAAGGGCAACTCCCGCACCTTCCACTGTTACAAATGGAGTTTTAACGCTTGGCTCTTCCGACTGGCAGCTCCGGGGCAGGGAGAGCAGAGGAAGTGTGGTTTGCTGTGATTTGGATCCACATCATAAAAGGTCATTTCCAATCCAAAAGGTTGGATGGGGCTCTGAGCATCCCAGTCTAGTGGAAGATCCCTGCCCACAGCAGGTCTTTAAGGTCCCTTGCAGCCCAAGCCACTCTACGATTGTGTAATTTTGAGCCTGAGCTACGGCTGATTTGCCATCAGCAGTGCGGCAGCACATACAGCCTGAGATTTCCAGGGCTCAGCAGCCTGGGCTGCTGCAGACTCAGAAATCCATGGGCAGCTCTTCCAGCCCAGAGGAAAGGGTGGTGGGGCTGATGGTCACAGAGGAGCACAGGGGCCTGCAGGTGCCTGGTGTGCATCCTGTGGGCTTGAGCTGCTGCTGCTCATCCCGGTTAACTCATCACTGCTCGCCTCTCTGGGGCTTGGAGCAGCCTTTATCAGCCGTGGTGATTCAGGTGATTCTCCTTGGTGATTCAGCTTAAAGAGACCCTGCTTCCATGGGATGATGCCTTCTCGGACAAAGCTTTAATAAGTGGAAAGTGTAAAATAGGTTATGTTTACCTTTAACACTTATTTAGGAGAATAACTTTATTTTGGAGCCAATACAGTAGAATTATATATATGATTTGAATGAGGCTACCCATCCTGCAGATGCAAGGATCTGCGAATTCATTCCTTAAACTGGGGGGGAGGAGGGGGGCATAAGTGAATTCCAAAACTCAATTACCTATAATTTTAAATACGAATATGATTTTATTTAATTTTTAAAAAAAGTCAAAATCGTATGTTTATACCAATGATTCTATGTTTTTAAAGCCTATACTAAACTTTTCACTGGCTTATTGGAGGCAGGTTTTGGGACAAAGTTCAGCTAAGGGCTCAAACCAAGACGATGAGGTAATTCAGAGACATACCCACATTTCAGGATTTTATCCAAACCAAACCTGAACTCCTAACCTTTTTTTCAGTTCTCTTATGAGAGATGTTGAGTTGAGAGAATGAGAGAGAAAAGAGACAATGAACAGGAAAAAAAGAATAAAAAAAGGAAAACCGCTTCTATATTTTTTTCTATAGAGACATTACTTCCTCTTTTTTCTGACATTTATTGCAGATCTAGCAGATCCTAAATGAGAGCCTTTGCTATGTAACATCAATGTCAAATGCAGTGAAAAATAATCATGGCAGCATGTGCTAATGGAATTTCTTGGGCAAATGCACCAGTAACCTCTCCCAAGGCATTGCCTTGAATGTGAAAATATTCAAAACATTAGATTGGTGAATAGAAATGTATCCACTATGTATCCATTGTCAGACGAAATAGCCAAATGCTAGGGATATTATTTTCAAACTGGAAAAACTTAATGCATTTTTAGAGTTCTAAAACAGTTCCAAATGCAGTTTGTTTACATAGACCTTGTGGTTCATACAGAAAAACAGTTTTTTGTTTATAGAAGCAAATAAATACAATAAAAGTTGCCCATTTCCTGGTATCTTGTAGATTTAAGAGTGATTTGTAAAGCACAGCTGGCATCAGAGGAGAAAGTTGAGCTGTGAAAGCAAGCTAACCATCTGAGGGAATGATGTGGGCTCAGAAAAAAAAGTAAGAACATTGATGAAATCCACAGGAAATCACTAATTATGGTAGTCATAAAAATAACAAACCAGAATGCTTGCCCTGTCAGTTACTGCAGCCAGGGCTAATGCTGTCATGATGCTGCAATCACACAGTCAGCTGTGCATGTGCACAGATGGATGTGCTGCTCCACACACAGATACTGAATGCAGAGCTGCTTTCAGATGTGTTTTACACATCTTCACAACAGAGATCTTTACAAACACAACAGGGTTTGGATGCTTCAGTGATATTTGTTTAATAGAAAGTAACACCAAAGAAGTACTTAGAACAGTTTGGTTTAGTTTATTTTGGCTGATGCTGTCTTCTGTTCTGTAATAAATTGATTTTAACTGATCCATCTTCTGATTTATGAAAAAGCAGCTATTACAGCTTAGGGCAGCAAATTAAATGGCACCAGCCCTATTGGATGGTACAAAGCTGAGCTTCTTTACAAAGAAATATAATCGTTGCCCAGTGGCTGTGGTAATACCTAATATCCATCTGGTGTTGTCCATAAACAGCTATTTTTAGGGCTGCTACTCAAAATGTGAGATGCTTGCTGCACTTTAAATACAGTAGAGTGTGACTCCTTGCTGTGCTAAGCATCAGAAATCATGTTTATGGAGGCAAGCTCTGTGTTTACAGTGCTGGCGTGTGGGAGTCCCACTTCAGAGGAAAAAGGAAACGAAGATTGCTCAGCTATCTGGTGCAGAGCTTTGGCAAGAACATCCCCTATTCATGGAATTAGCCTTCATTAAAAAGTCCCAGGGTGGTTTTTGGCATTC